TTCCTTCATGTCTTCAGAGATTATAGCAAAAGAGGAAATAAGACAGATACAGATAGTGACATATATTGATGTGGCATGGGTAATTGTTGAGGTGAAGGTGAGAGGGAAAGGTCAAACGGCCTATGAAATCCAGCAGACTACGGTAACACTTATGTTGTACGTAGTCTAAAAGAACAGTCAATTCAACCATTTTTGTTTTCTACAAATAATTAAATGCAAATAATGATTCTAAATACTTTTCAACATCTTTCATTTTTAGTTTTAAACAAATTGAAGCACTGTTTTTATACAACTCCTGTAGAAAAGTATTCATAAGAACAGTATTGTAAAGGACCAGGTTTCACTTTTTTGGGGAGCAGGGGGGTTGGCACATCTCCACTATACTACACAATCCTTTGCACACTCTGATTTCCATATTAGGTTTTCACTCACAATGTATGAAACAGTAGAAGTTGTCTTATATTTGACAACAATTATGAATATATTATAGCATTAATAAGGAGGACATTGCACACACCTGGAAGGGTTTGTCTGATGTGTTTTTATTAAAAACAATATATAAATGACAACTAAAAGTCTTTGAATTAGGCTTATTCTGCAGAATATACACAAAGGCATTGGGCCACACCTATTAATTCAGGTTTTTTTCTGTCCCATTGCTACATTGTGACAATGAAGCACTTAGCCGTGGATTCTATCTTTACAAATATTTTTAAAAGAGCTCACTGAATTTGAGTGTGGAACTATAATAGGATGCCACCAATGCAACAAGTTGATTTATGAGATTTATTCCCTCCTAGATATTCAGTGATTAAATGTGAACAGTATAATCACAAAGTGGAAGTGTTTAGGGTGTTCAGATGGCAGACAAGATAAAACTACAGACTGGGGTTGTCAACATCACACATCACAATCATTCCTCAGTTCTAACACTCCTCACATCACTAAGAACACCTCTATTGAGTCGGGCGAGCTAGCTACTGCTAGTTAGCTCTTTTGCCTGCCGACTCGAAAAGAGTTTACGATTACCAGTGGTGTAGTCCACATGTAGACTAATTTCCATGTTTCCAAGCATTTTTTTATTTGCATTTAGATATGAGTACCAAACCAAAGCAAGTGAAGAAGAAATCTTCTATTCGCCCATGTCCTTATGGAAGTGGTTTCTCTTTGCATGATGAAGACCAGCACAAAGCATGTCCGATCTGCTTGGGGACTGTCCATGCTAGGAGAGCACTGACTAAGCCAGAAACATGTGTTTTCTTGCCAGCATTCAACACTAGAAAAACAAGTGATGTTTGTGGAAAAGGACCAGAAAAGACTGGTGTTGAACAGCATGACCTTCTCCTAGTAAGGAGTGTCCATTCAATGAACCCAAGACTAGTTGGGCTTACCAACTGGAGTATGTTGATGCTCATTCTTGAGGTTGTGAAGTCACTGGCTAGCTACAGCTTGAGCTGTTTCACCATACAGGCAAGAAGCTGCGGCTAGGATCCTGTACTGGCTCAGAAAAAAAACACCTACCCATATTCCCTGATTTTGTCTGTGAGCTAACAGCTTCATGAAGCTAACCACTGTCTACCTGCATTACTGTGAACAGCTACGGACCATTTCTGGAGCTGGGCAATGCAGAGAAAGCTGGCTTAGTTAATTCACTATCTAAACCTTTCCAGGAACCACACTTGGCTGCTCATCTGGCCCCATCTCACAACCATGGTGTAATAGGCCTCTTAATTCTTCTAAGCACAGCAGATTCGCTGTATCTCAGCTTTATGGATATCAGATTTATCGGGCTCAACTTTGTCACCTTGCAATGCACCTGCTGGAGTTCAAGTCACTGGTTCACTTTGACAGCCCCCGGGCACCTCTCCTTAATGACATCAGAGGAACCATGCATTGCATTCTCTGTGGGCCCTGCTGTACAGCAGTACCCCTATGCCCTTTGAGGGCCTTAAGAGTAGGACAACAGCAGCATCTGGCTGAACCTCTCTCATGTCCTGGATAGAAAAGGGACCATCCACTTGGATCAATCGGTGTCTGCTGAGGGTTTATGTGTGCCATCACTTGTCGCCATTCTGTTATCTATCCCCAAGAGAGGATGGCAGGTGAGAGCCCAGTCTCAAAGTTGAGTTCCGCACCAACTGGTCTGGATCAAAGAGCAAAGAGCAAAGAAATGCGATTCCTAGTAGGAAGCCTCAGTCCTTCTAGCTGTGGAGCTGGGACACATCTCTCATCTGTTACCAACCAAGACGCACCACCTAAGTTCTGTTCAGGTTGTCAGTCCAAGCAGGTGCAGCACTTTCCATACGCAGTCTGGTCCAAACACAGTGTGATTGTCTAAAGTCCTAGGGCTTCATGCAGCAGAAAACTGCATGGTCATAAATAGTAAACCTTTTAGCAATGTTACCAGAACCGACATGTTCTCCTATTCCAGTCCTCTATTGCAGATCTTCTTGACATTCCTTGGGAGCTGTTATATCTTCTTTCTTCTTTAATAATTAAAGTATATTTGGTCAGTCATATCGACTTTGACAGGTTGATGCCAGGCATAAATCCTCTGGCCACGAATTCTTTTGAAAGGGGTCCACCACCTGAGATCTGTAGTTAGGCATCACCAGCATTTTGAGATTTGGCTTTGGTGCTGCAGACCCTTTGTGCCCCCCCCCCCCCAAAAAAAGAAATTACAGATATGAAGCTTCTTTCATATAAGACTATTGTTTCTCAGGTTAGCTTCTACAAAATGAGTGAGTGACCTTCATACATTGTGAATCCTTTTGCAGACAGTTCTCTTGTGTTGGCTTCATGGTCAGTATGCTCAAATGAGGGATTTTTATTCCTTCAGATTATTACTACAATTCATGGTTACAGTTTTTGCTTCCCCCTCCTTTTGCATCTGAGGAGCTGCATTCCCTGTGCCTGGAGCGTGTACTATGTACCCAAATTCACCGCACTCAGAATGTGTGTTTATGTGACCAGTTGCTTGTGTGCCTTGCTAATCCCACCAAAGGTAAAGCTCTCTGTCTGAACAGAGGGTCTCCCACAGGCTAGTGGAGGCTATGTTCCTAGCTTACAGCAACAAAGCTCTCTCTTTGCCTCAGAGTGTAAGAACACATTTCATCAGGGGAATGAGAACCTCATGGGTACTATTTAAAGGGGTGTCTGTAAATGATATATGCTTTGGCTAGCTGATCATCGCCACACACTCTGGTGGCTCATTATGTCCTTCCTGCTGGGTCTTCTATGGACTAGGGTGCCGGTGGACCAGCCCCAGTTTGGTGGCTGTTCTGTAGGGTGTGTATATGTATGTCCTATATTGTATGTGTATTACTATATGTAGAATAGAATAATCCTTTAATTGTCCCACAAGGGGAAATGTGTGAAACCGAACAAAGTATTATGACGTTAACTTGTATTCCCTGAAGGAGAGGCCTGAGGTAAAACACCAAGCAGGGGTGTCATTTTGCAGAACAATCCATATGTTTATCCTATGTAAGTACATTTATATAGGTTGTCACTATATCACATAAATTGACACCTCAACACATCACCATGTTTATGCCATTTACCCATTCCAATATTCATCCAATACCATTAAGAAAAACTAAACGAGCAAAATAAGCCGATCATACAATTAAAATATTTTGTACAGCTTCAGAAACTACACATACTTCCATTCAGAAGAATCAGTTTCATACTTAAAATAATATTAAATAATTGTATTATCTAAAATTGTGTTTCTGTCTGTCTGACAAATCTATTTTCCCTGCTTCACACTCTGTCTCTCACATACACACACACAACACACAGCTCTTGTGCAGTGAATACGCAAAGACCTTTACATTATCCAGGAACTTTACATTACAGAAATATTGAAAGAGGAAGAGAAAACTTGCATACTGCATAATATTAAATACAAAGGCTATGATCATGGAATAATGTTATCAGATGTAGAAATGGATAAAAATATATATTTTTTAATCATTCAATAAACACCTCTAAAATGTAATATGTGTTTCCATAAATCATTTCACCGCTGCCAAGCATGAGTGCAAGGAGGCACAACCCCAATAAAATCTGCACCCAGTGGCACAGCGAGAGCGGAAGAGTCCAGGAGAGAAGTGAAAGGGGGTGAATGAGTGCTCTCGTGCCTAAAGGATGATATTCTGTGTGCACACTTTGTCACACAAAAAATATTCATTTTCTAAACCAAAAATATTACTTGCTGAAAATCTTTACAAATAATCATCCCCATCATTCTCTCCTTTGAACATTACACGGAGCACAAACATGCCCCAAAAGATACACAGATGCATTAAAATTGCATCTATTATTAGATACCTCCATTTTCCCCCTCCATTTTACATTTCCTCCAATGAAAAAACAAAACAAAAAAACTGTAATATGGGGGAAGACACCAAATCTAAAGGAGAGAGTAGAGCATGCAAACCATGTAAGTGACAAAAATCTGCATTGAAATATAAGCTTGGGCAGTACCTCTAACTTGCATTTCCTTCAAATACATATAGTGCACACACTGTAAGGCTGAAATCCCCTAAAACGCATGTCGTGAAAGAAAAACAAAAAGACAGCTCGTGTTATTTGACCGGCAGCGCATATTATTCACACCTCTAGTGGCATAACAGTCATCGTAAGCCTAATTTTCTTTCCCCATGGTTAAATATCTGACAGAGCTGACACAACCTGTACCAGAGCAAATGTGCTTGACTGGCTAGCCTACACTCACACACACACACACACACACACACACACACACACACACACACACACACACAC